TCAGCACCTTAAGAAATGTATAGAGAACAGTATGGAGAATATGCATACTGATAATAGGGTGCAAAGGTTTAAGAATACAGCTTATTATATAGCCCCACCCCCTTCCTTTCCTTCTTCTCCATGATGTACATTAATTGAATTAGGATGATTCGCGCAAAAAGAGAAGGAAAAAAGGCAAAACAATACACCTGTTCAGGAGACTATGCAGGGAAACGCAAAACAAACTTGACCAATATCCAACCATCGTGATCACACGCTTGGTCAACAATACAAAAAATAGGGAGCCTATAGCGATGCTTGACTGCAGAACTTGGAGTCAATCTCTAATAACTTTAACATTTTAAGCCAACATGCACCCAGGGTCAATGTAAGAGAGGTTTCTAAACATTACATTATTCTTCTTATTCTTCTTTTCATGTTTCTCATCTCACTTTTATTCCCAGCCGTGTCATGATTGTATGGCTGTGGGATACAAGCGCTGTGACAAGTGTTGTGGACGTGGAAGGGCACTTTGACATGCGATGCTAAAATCTTTCGAACCATATTCTTTCTAATGAAGCCGAACGCAGCTATTTGTTTGGTCACGAACGTGGAGGAAACCAAAACATCCGATCGAGTCCCCGCACAAGGACTCCAAATCTAGATTTTAGATTTCCAAATTCCTAGGGTTTGCGTTCCGGTGACCATCCGAGCTCGAAACCCGAAGATCAGAAAGACCCTGTGAAATGCAAAAGTCTGGCACTCGATTCCTTTTGAAATCCGAAGATCTGGAATTTGATTCGTCGAAAAATCAGATTAGTTGCCCGCTGAACTCATCGTTTATTCGTAAAGAACTGAAATATTTAAGCAAGAACTACCAGGGGTGAGTTTTTTTTTATTTTCTTACCAATAGACTCTTCGTCCGACATAAACATAGCGCGCTATTCGATTGAGTTTTCAAACCAAAAGCAAAGTAATCATAACAGCCAATCAGATTGAAGGAAATATCACAAGCAGCCAATAAGAACTTAAGATAAAAACAACAAATTTGTCTAAAGCGCGGGAAAACGCAAGTGACCAGATTTGTAAATGCAACAGCAAAGTTAGCAAAAGGGAAATGTGAGAAAGAGCTTTGGGGAGATTGAAGAACGAGAAAACTACCTGAATCGTAAGCCAATGAGTAATCAAAGTAAAAACAGGCAATAATTCGTCGGAGCGAAAGGCGAAGGGCTCACGCTCGAAACGTCAGCTTTTGTAATCATTACGGTGGCCAATTTACCATTTCAACTTTGTTGATATATCCAAATTATTTCGTTACTCCCACCGACGCAGCCCCAAACAGTTTCTTTCGAAACTATCAGCCTTTATTAAAAACAGGCAAACCGCCTAAAGCGCGGGAAAATGCAGACGAACAGGTCGTGACTGGTTTTAGTTTTGCACGGC